AAATATATTTTAATGTATTGAGCTTTAGTATGGCTTGACACTTATCATAACTAACTGACCACAGACCAGCAATTCTTTTAGTAAAGAAACGCTGCACTTTCTCAATTTCATTAATCAAGCATATAGTGTATGGTTATCATACTAAAGAGCAATATTCAAGCATAGGTCATATATAAGTACTGTGATTGTGACCACCTGTGATCTCATGTACAGTAAATTAGTTAGCTAATGATTGCCAACTATTCCTTAAGCAGTAATTTCATTAGTAACTTGGAATGTGAAACTGAATCAAAAATCTTAAAATCAAAATAAATAATATCTGTAGGAATCCAGGTCTGAAGATTTAAAGTTCATTCATGAAGACTTCTAGAATATTAGTGCATGTACTACGTTTACAAATAAAACCATGCTTCTTATTTGTTATTAGTTTATTGAGTAAGAAATAATTTATCAGTTAGTTATTAATGATTCTTTCCATTAAGGAGATGAGTCTATAGTTAAAGAGATGAGTCTATAATTACTTAAACTGTTGGTCCCTTTTTGTGAATTGGAATAACGCTTGCAACTTTCCAGTCTAATGGTAAAGCACCATCTTTAAATAAGGTATCAAATAAATGGCTTAAAGAAATTGATAAACTAATGGCACAGTTCTTTAGTAAAACATAGGGAACAGGCTTGGTCGGGAAGCGGGTGCGATCGCACTCGATATTTGACCACGGAAATTATATTTAGTTGCGAAAAACCGGCCAGTTTTTTTAGACGTTTTGAGAACATTTCAAAAACAAGCAAAAAAGCGCAATAAGATAAACTGGACCGATGAGAGACAGTTAAAAAAAGAAAAATAGTTTAAAAAAAGTGACATTTTTTGTATATAGTAATAACGTACTAATAATGATTGTTTAATAAAGAAGCAAATGTTCTTCAATTTATCAAAGATTATATATAATTTTTATTTATATACTTATGACTTATTTCCAGTGCTGGAAATAAGAATTGGGAGGGGGGGGGGTAAAAGAGCTATAGTCCCGGGACACACAATGTTATGGGCCGAGAAATAGTCAAGAGGACCTATCGGTATTTTTAAGTCATTTTTACGCTGTCGCACATAAAAAAGGCCACCAAAATAATGCAGCCCCCGTCCCTGTAAAGTCCAACAAGATTAAACCAATTAAACTAACGCTACATAATTTAATTATAAATAAAAAAAGTTTTTTCAGTACCTGTTTTATGCTTCGCTTAGTTTGAAAAGTTTAACATATTTGAAACAATTCTTCTTAGTAAGATAAACAAATGAAATAACTAAATCATTGAGTTACTGTGGAAATTTAATTAGCTAGATAGAAATTAACTAAAAACGTTAAATTACTTAGTAAGGAGGAAGCGGAACTGCTTAACAATATCGCTGATGATGTTTAGTGAGTGGGCTTTATATCTTTAACTAGTATTTTACAGAAAAAAGTAACTTTAAGTGTAAGTATAACGAGTTTGTAAGAATGGCTGAAGCAAAAATAGTTGAAGTTAATAAACCAATTTCTAATACATTACATACATATAAATATATCCCTTATATATAAAAAATAAGATTATACTAATTAAATCTATAATATATTTACAAAACGTTGACAAGTTTAAAAATATAAATTTAAAACATTTATTTTTGTAAACAAATGTTAGTTTAAAACATTTATAGCTTTGTAGATGTGACTCCGAGAATGAGCCACTGTATTAAAATAATTGTTCGCTTGATAGTATATTCTTAAAGCAATTGATGCTAGAAATCTCAACGAAAACATAACAAAACTCAAATTATACGATTTTGAAAAATAATTCAACAGAATACTCTAGAACATTCGCTTGAATTCTTTAGTAATTTCAGTTATTTATTAATTGAACCAATAGAATTAGTTGTTCGTAAATTTGGCGGGTTTTTTGTGTTTGCGAATATTCTTTATTTATTTTTCCGCACTAAGATGTTTGACAACATTCAAGTTAATATATAAGTTTCCACGTACGTCCGTAAAACAAAATCTTTTAAAATTTACGATAAAATGAACTTATTATTTTGCGGACAAACAAGGAAACATACATAAATTGAAATGTTCTCAAAACGCCTGAAAAATCTGGCTGGCTTTTCGCAAGTAAATATAATTTCCGTGGTCAATTATCGAGTGCGATCGCACCCGCTTCCCGACCAAGCCTGAGGGAATGTCATCTGGACCAGTAGATGTGGTGGGTTTAACTGCTCTCACTGAATTTTTGACTGTAGAAGAAAAGTTAATGGACAACAGACAAGTTAAATGTACATTAACACGATCCATAAACTTTAGTGATAAACCATTATCAACTGTAAGAACACTTGCATAGAAGTTATTAAAAATAAAAGATATTTCTTCTTTATTTTGTCAAAGAGTATTATCAGATCAACTAATGTCATTGAATTTACTACAGGTTTTGAGTTTTCCATTATTAAAATTAAAGAAACTACCAAGGTTGTTTTTGCTTATCATCATTAGTTTTTTTGCTGCATGGAATCAGAACATTGTGTGGCAATTGATTTATAAGCTGCTTTATTGTTATGTTTACCTGTTATTTTTGATCTTTTCCATGTAATTGTTATATTGTTTATCAACCTTTTAACATATCGAGGATAGTGTTTTTTAAGTCATGATTTGTGCTCTTCACTAACTCGCACTTGACATTTCAAACATTCATGTTTGAAATGTCAAGTGCATGTTAAACAGTTATAAATCTATACATGCATATATGTTTATATATATATATAATTTATATGTACATAACAATAAATGCATGTGTATGCATGAAATGCCAAAATGACATTTTGAGTTGAGCTTGATAAAACTGGTAAAAGATAACTTAAAGCATTTGATAGTAAATTTTAGTTTAAGTAGTAAAAATTACTAGAGGTTGGAGTTAAGGTTAGTTTTAATCTAACTAAAAATACTTAACTAAATTTTTAGTCTAACTAAAATTAGTTGACTAACTTTTTAGTTAACTAAAATTACCCGACTAACTTTTTAGCTAACTAAAATTACCCGACTAACTTTTTAGTTAACAACATGTTCTATAATAATTTTATTTAGTATAGTAGTTTAAGTAAAATGTTGTATAATAATTTTATTTAGTATAGTAGTCCAGGTTCAAAATGAGCTCTGGACATATTTTTGAGTCACAGTAAGGAAGTAGGCATGAACTTCCTGGTTAAATGCACTTCCATGGTGCTCTGTGACAAGACCATTAGGTCTTCTTGGGGCACCTAAATAACAAAATTAAAACAAAAAACAAAAAACATGCCAACAAGGTTCAATATTAAAACATGTTTGGTAATCTGCATTTTTCCAATAGTTGAACTGTTGAACTGGAATTCTGTTCAATTGGAAATTGGATTTTCAAACTTTTCAAGTGTTCAAACAATTATTCAAACTGGAATTCTAGTTCAACTAGAGACTTTTGAAAAAATAAAAATTAAAGTTAAACGTAAACTAATGTATTTTCACTATTTCTTACTAAATTTAAAAAATATAATAGTATTTTTGGTTTAAGATATTATAAGCAGACTTGTTTTCACTTGTTATAATTTTCAAATTTAAATATCTAAAATTTAAAGCACTAATATTAGTTTTGTTTTTAAGGTAAAATAAATATAAGTTGGGCTTTTAAAGCGTTTTCTTATTGATCGTGTTATTTTTATTCGGTTATAAAAGTTTAGTTTATTGTATAAAATATATCAAGACATTCTTTTACATAAAAATTAACTGCAAAGGGAAAATCCAAACACAACATTTTAAACTCAAGTTTAAGTTATTTGAAATAACTATTTGTATTGATGTCATTTATTAACTACAAAAGCGCATTAATCTGACTAGTATTTAAAAAAAGAGCCAGAACTTACCTTATAGATAAAAAAAAAGCTATTAAAAATTTTTAAGTTTTTCTTAAATATCTCGGTAAATAATTTGTTCTGGAAACTTTAATTAACATTGAACTTATTTTTCAAGGATTTTTAATGATATGAACACTTTTTTGTCTTTGCAATTGGGCATCACTTTAACAATCAAAAAATAATAACTATGAACTTTTTTTTTAACGTTTTGTCTTTAACAAAATTCTCGTATACTACTCATAAACTAGTTAATCATTTCTAATCAATGTTCATTCTATGATCAATCCAAAAATTTAATAATAAAGAATAAACTTTTGTTAAAAAGCAATTTCAAAACTAAAAAAATCACCTTTTTATAAGTTTGTTATATAAAATTTACTAAAAAATTTTCTAAAATATTTTTAATAAATCTAATAAATTTGCCTACAGACTTGTTTATGGTTTATCCGGTAATGCATATGCAGTTATTAGTGCATTAAGCACTTTTGTAACGGAATGAAAAAAGATTTTTGATTTGAATTTATAAATAAATAAACAAAATAGTTAAATGTAATACGAACATTTTAAAATAAATTAAATTTAATTTGTTTTAGAAATTTTCTTTAACATAGTTTGAAATTTTAGCAGTAAAAAAAAAATTGTAAAACGGAGTGTTTTAAAATTTTTTAAAGAGTTAGAATTAAATTTAGTAAAATAAATTCATATTTATTAATATCGAATAATAAATTTAATAAATAGACTAAAAATGAATTAAAAAAAAAAAAATGGAAAATAGAAAAAAGTTTATTTAACTATCTGTTTTTTGTCTAATAAAAAAATATTTCACAAAATGTTTTTACAACAATTGATTACTGCTTAATGTTTTCTGCATAAACACAATAAAAGACTGTTTATATAATTTTTAATTGAAAAAAGTTTAGGCATAATGTAAGTTACATTACTGCAATGTAAATATCTTAATGCCGATGAAATTACCATTTTGTACGCAAAATTAAAATTGCATAACACTTCTTAACGAGGCCTGATGCATGGTTGTTTTTTATTTTATTTGATGTTTTTAAAGTTTATTGATATAGTTTATATTATTTTTTTTTTGCAGCAATACAAAAAGCTGGCCAGACAGTTTCACCCTGATAAAGCAGGTGCAGAATTTGAAGAAAAAGTAAATCTTTTTTATTATTTAAATTGTTAGTTTTTGGCTTTTATTTTTTCTAATTTTATTAGATATTTTATTATATAAAAAGACAAAAATAAGTTTAAAGTTTAACAAAAAAATCTTACTACTGGTCTAAAAAGCTTTTCAGCTGGTTTGTATCTTTTTTTTATATTTTGATTCTAAGCCAAATTTGTGACATTAATAATATCAACAACAACAAAAAAACAGCTGTGTAAATAACAAAATAGCATGCAACTTTGTTTCATTGTTTTACAAAGATTCTTACAAATATAAAAGCATTTAAAATTAAATGTTTTACAGTCAGTATTAACAGGCAGGGTGTCTGCCAGATTAGGGAAACCAAGTAAAACAAAGAATTCAGATATCTGCAAAGAACTCTTGGAATAACTAGCGAAATTTGGTTGAATTCTTAAATAAGTATTTATTCTTAATAAGTGTATTTTACAAAAAGATTGTTAAATATTCTTAAAGAACACAACAGTAATAAATTAGTAAAAATCTGAATTTTATTTATAGATCAAAATTTTCATACTTTATAAATTAGTTTATACTTCATAGATATATTTCATATTATACTTCATTTATAAATTGTTATAACTAGCTTTTTCTAAAGAAGAAGTTGCTTAAATTATATTATCTTTTTTTAAAAGCTTTTTATATAACTGCGTTATTAAAAAATTTAATTCTAAGTTTTTAATAATTTTTTTTTAAATCTAAATAGGTAATTATTTCAAATTTTTCTTGCAAACATAGCATTCATTTTTTGCAAACATTATTATAGGCAAAAGCAGTTTTTAGAAGAGAACAAGTTTCAATAGTTTTTATTCCTTTTATTCCTTTCTTGTTATTTCCAAGTTAAGCCTCATTCTACCTTATTCTATTGATGCTAAGCTCCATTATTCTCAGTTCACTAAATCTCATATATCAGAAATCTCAGAAGTAAAGCTCTAAAGACTTTTTAGAAATCTTCAACAGCGTCATTAACAAATGTAGGTCTAGCTCTCCAATCTTATGACCATTCTCTTCCTTCCATTCCAATTAAACAAGTTAACCCATTGTTAGACATTCAAATTACACTAGCTTCTGTTGCTGAAGTCATATCTCAATTAAACTCTTAATGACTTGTGGTCCAGACAATATTCCTGTCTAAGTCTCACAAAAGTGTTCTTCAGTACTCTGTTCAATACTCACTAAACTATTTAATAAGTGTTTGACTGAATCTTGTTTTCCTGGCTTCTTGTGTTGCTTGACTGAATCTTTTTTTCCTTTGATCAACAAATTTCTAACATCCTATCTCAAGTCAAATACCTTTATAATTAATACAATTTTCGGTCCTCTATGGCTGATTAACTTACTACTATGACTGAAAGATTTTATTGTGCATTAGATGGAGGCGGCAAGGCCTGTTAGGCTAGGGCTGTTGCTCTTGATATATCTAAAGCTTTCAATAAAGTTTGGCATGCTGATCTTCTTCATAAGCTTGCTTTATATATTATTAAAGTCGACTTCAAAGGCCATTGCTCTTCTTTATTTCCTGTAACTTCTGGGGTACCTCAAGGTTCTAACCTTGGTCCTGTTTTCTTTCTTATCTACATTAAGGATCTTATTGATAACCTTGCATCTAAAGTGGTTCTGTTTGCTGATGACTCAACTTTATACTTCTTTTTTGAGAAAAAGTCTTCTCTTTTCGTTCACTTGAAACAGAAAGCTAATCTTGAGTCTGACCTCACTTCTTTAATAGATTTGGGCTTGCAGTGACTTGTGAATTTTAACTCAACAAAACTTAGTTATTTATTGCAAAATACTATTGGGATATTTTTGATATTGATAAATATCAACCTTCTTACTGAGTCCTTTTCTTTATATCTTCTTGGATTATTGCTCACACTTGACCTCTCACGGAAACCTTATATACTATCAGTTGCTAAATTAGCATATGCTAAGGTAGCTTCTATTTATCGTTCTTGATATTTTCTTACTTCTGATTCCATTCTTCCTCTTCAAATTTCTTATTTGTCCCTGTATGGAATACTGTTGTCGTATTTGGGCTGGTTCTTCTAATGATGCTCTTTTTCTTCTAGATATGGTCCAAAAACATTCTAAATGTAGTTAGATCCACTTTATTTGCCAAGCTTGAGTCTCTCTTTTTTATTGTCATAAAGTTGCATCTCTTTCTCTTTTCTACAAATACTATCGTATTGCTGCTCAAAGGAGTAGCAATACGATGTATTGCTACTCCTTTGAATAGTATGCAACCTTGTTGGGATTGAATTAGAGTAAATAAAAAAAATCTTTTAAATTGCAAAATAAATTTTGACAGCATAGTCTCTTACGAGTTTTTTTTATGTTTAATGTTTGTTTGATTGTGATTGGCATAACATTTTTTCCATTCACCATCGATCAAGTCAATATACTGTTTATTTTGGGTTTTTTGTGTGGAAACAATGCATTTGTAAATAAAAAATTTAATAAGCATTTTCCATTAATTGGGCAATTAATTTATTAGAGGGAGAGAAACGTTTGTCTACTTATATTTAAAAAGTTTTTTCTGTATTTGTTAAAAAAATTTTCAGTATGGGGATTGAACCAAATTATGTTTATGTTTTGCTTTTTTTTTTTTTTGCATTTTTTTTCAAGTTTTAGCTCAAAATTTTTAAACCCTTTCTCTAAAGGGATTCTAAAGTGCAGAGACAAGTTGTGTTCATATTAAAGAGAATGATAAAAAAAAATGTTTAGGTTAAATTTTTTTGAGTAAATCAAAATAATAAACGTATACCAAGAAAAACTAACTTTGTTGTTTTACTCGTTTAAACATACGCCACAATCTACAGACTTGATAATTTTTTCAAGCGTTTTTAATTCCAAAGAGTTTTAATATATAATGTCATTGTAGAATTTCAATAAGAATTAATTACGTCATTGTAGAATTTCAATAAGAAAATTCTTTTTTTCATCAAATTATAGATTTTTTTTTCTATAGAATACTGTTTAGTTACTTATCAGGGGGCAAAATAATTGTCGGACATAGATGCGCCCCCTAGACTGTTTTTGAGACCTTTTTAAACAGGGCAACTAATGATTGTTTACTTTTACTGAAAAAATTAACAATTATTTGTTCCCCTCATCTAGCAGGTCTCAAAAATTGTTTGAGAGGCAGCGATGTCTGAAACTTATTTTGACCCCTGCTTAATATTTATATATTTTCTTTTATATATTACCATTTTTATATTGTAAATGTAAAAAAACATGCTAAATAGTATTAAATTTTTATGAATAAACTTTTTGACAGTTTCCACAATCCTTTTGTAAATTTATAAATAGCCGAAATGACTTTTTAATTGAGAACTGTTGATAAAAACAATACACATTATATGGAAAGTTTTTGAATATTCAAGTTTTTAAATATTCAAATGTTTTAAAATACTTAAAAAAATTACATAAAATAAAATAGTTGAATTTTTTCATTCTTTATTTTTATGTATTTTTGTTTTTGGCTTTTATATGTATCTACAATTGACTTAGTTATTATTTAGTTATTAGTATTATTGTTAGTTAGTAGTTATTAGTATTATTGACTTAGTTGAGTTCTGTGCATAACCTTGGACTATTTTTCAACATGTGGTTTTATTGTCATTGTCTCTTGCTACCTACAGTTTTGTTAATAATTGACCTTAATGTAAGGCATAAATTTAAGTTTCCAGTCTTTAAAATGTTCGGGTAGGCCTTGGCCTACACAAACATTTTTAAAGTATGAAATTAATTCTTTATAATATCCTGAAGTAGAACTACAAGACAATTCATTAAAATGTTGTGGTTCTAGTGTATTGTCATAATTACTGTAACATTACCTTTTCTCTTTCTTTTTTTTTTTTTGCTTTAATGACCCTGCACCGTTCTGTATGACTAAACTATAAATCCAAAAAAAAGTTAAGACTTGAAGAATAAAAAATTGTTTTGATAATAACAATTTTAAATAAAATCAATACTTTTTTTAAAAGCGCAAACAGGCAATTTATAATTTTTAATTTATTTAAAAATAATTCATTTCATTGCAGTTACTGTGCAAATGGCGGGAAAAGTCAAGTGAATATTAATAGAAAAGATTAAATGAAAAGAAAGTACAGTTGAGATTATATTCTTTATTACATATAATAATTTCAAATAAAAATGAAATAAATCTCTGAAGTTAAAGGAGAAAAACTTTCGCACATTTTATATCTCTTGCTCATTAAAAACATTACAAAAACTGCTCATGTTAATTAGTTAATAATAATGTTACTAACTCTTGTTTGCAATTTAAACTGTTTAAACTGAAAGAATATTTTTAAACATTCATCTACTTTGTATGAAACAATTTGTTTTAAATTCTAAAATAATAAACAATTTGTTTAATAAAACACTATAAAAATTTACACTAAGCAAAAATACAAATTGCAATATGTTAGTAAAATTTATTTGTATAATTTTAATGTAACAACAAGGGTTGAATTAAGCGAATGCGAAATGCAAAATCTGGAAAAATATCTAGTATTCAAAACAAAACTGTGTTCCTTGTTTTTAAGGGGAGACTCAACTTAAATTCGTTAGCGAAAAAATAAAAAATAAAACAATAAACTTACGATATAACTTTTAAAATTCATTCTTTGTTCAAGCAACATTAGTATTCCCAAATTTTAATTGAAGTAGAAAAATATCTAGAAGAATAAAGTGGATGTTCAAATAATATCAAAACTAAAGTAACTTATTAAATCGTGACAGACAACTTTATGAAAATGAATTGTATTAAAAGTTTAGCATTATGAAAAACGTTACTAATGGACCGTAAAAACACGCATTAATTTTAAAATTGAACAATAAAATTTTTTTATTGGTTGATTTTAAAATTAATGCACATTTTTGCGTAATGTTTTTCATAATGCTATACTTTTTATAAAGTACTTTTTTATAACGTTGTTTAAGAGATATGTGAAAGTTCCTGAAATTTTTAATAATGTTTGAATATCCGCTTTATTTTTTCTAGATGCTTTTCTACTTTAATAAATGTTTGGAATTAATAATGTTGTTTAAACAAAGAATGAACTTTAAAAGTAATAAGTGCTTTATAAATGTAATAACACTATTATAGTGTTATTACTTTTGTAATGCAGTTAGTGACTAGAGTGTTATTACTTTTGTAATCGTAAGTTTATTGTTTTTGTTTTATTTTTTGTAACTTTCTCGCTGGCAAACTTTTAATAATTTGCTCCTTATAAACAAAGTACACAGCTTTGCATGAACTAATTTTTAAAGACCTAATATTTTACCAGAGTTTGCAACCGCGATCGTATAATTTAACTCTTGATATAAACTTGTTACATTATAATTATACAAATATATTTTACAAACAGATGACGATACATATTTTCTCTTTCCTCTTTAAAAGAAAAACACATAAGATATGGGAAAGTTGTCCTTTTTAACCCCTAAAACCGTTGTTTTTTTTGTTTTGTTTTTTTGCTATGACTTAATGAATTTTGTTACCGATAATAATAACCACTAAGAAAAAACAAAAATAAATCAACACACATATTATTTAAACTATTATTATTATTTTCTATTTAAGTTTACTTTAATTTCTTACGCAGTTATAAATTTTAAAACAATTTTTCAGTAACGCATATAATATAACTTGCGCAAGCGGCCGTGATCACGTTCTCTAACATGAAAAACGTTTTTGTGGTTGTACAAGAAAAAAAACCGCACACCTTTTCTAGGAAGGTTTGTATATTATAAATATATTGAAATAATATATATTATAAATAATAAGAGAAAAATAAAACAAATTAAGTACAATTGAAAGAAAAACTGTTCATAGTTAAAAAAATTAAATAATTTATTTTATATTATTATATTATTAACAAAATAAAACATAATATTTTTATATTAAAATAAGAATCATTTAAGAGAAAAGGATTTTTACTAAAAAGCAAAAAACTTATGATTATAGTTTACGTTGTTACTTATGTTACGTATAAGTCTTATGTAATATACATCTTAAGCAATACATTAGTCAACAAAGAGAATTAATGAGTTCAGGGTTAACAACAACAATAACAACAAGATATTTATTTTCCTTTTCAAAATTTACATATAATCATATAATAGCAATAATAATAATATCTATAATAATACAAACAATATAATTATAATAAAATATAACTAATAAGAATAATTATAAATACTTATTAGAAAAGGAAGGCGTCACTCAAACAGAAGCCTGATCAAAGGAGTGACACCAAATAGTTATAACAATAATGATTAAAAATAATAATATTATCTATAATAATACAAATAATATGATGACATGAGTGTCATTCACGATCAAAATGTGACACCAATTAATTATAACAAGTAGTATAATAATAAAATAATAATAAAAATAACAAATATGAACCGAAAATCGCTAAGAAAATAAATAAAATAATAATAACAACGATAAAGCTAAAATAAGTTTAATAATAAGACAAAAAATATGAAAACACTCAATAACAACAGCATACAAAAATAAAAATAATTAGCAAAACAGAACAAATAAAAAACAAACCTTACACAAACAAAAAGGCAAAATACAAAAACTACAAAATGAAACCCAAAAAATACAAAACAAAAAGGCAAACACATTTCTACAAAATAAAACTAAATTAAATCCATTACAAATTTAAATATTACAAATTAAATCGTTAAAAAAATAAGTATAAAATAACCAATCTTCTTATTCTTCGTTTGTAAATTTCTTTATATTTCCTTTTTTTGTTTCTTTTTATTTGTTAATTTTTTTCTGTCTTTTTTTTTTTTTTTTTTGTTATTTTATTGTTTTACGTAAAAGTTTTACTTTATTCTTTATCTTTACTTTAGCTTTTTTAACGGTTAAAAAAATGCGACCGCCGTTTGCGAAGACCTTGCGAAGAATCAAAGCAAAAAAGTTACTTAGTTAAAGCAGAAAAGTTACTTAGTTTTTATTAATATGCAATAATTATTAGATAGAAGTTTTAACAATAATAAATTTTATATATACTCAAATATATTAAAAGTAGCGGAATTAATGATATTAAATTATTAATAAATTATTAACTTATAATTATTGAATTATATTAATATAAATTATTAATAAGTTTTTAATTTTAATTTTTTGAATAATATTTATAAAAAATAAATTTATTTAAACGTTTCAAAAACAAAGATAAAAACCAGGCAGTACTTAAAATAAAAGAATTAAAGAAAAAATTCGCTTTAACTTCTATTTGCTTTCAAACTTTTTGCTTTAACACTCGCTAGCAATTAAATTACTACAATGTTCTGGAAAAGACAGTATAGTTATGCCATTTGTTTATCTAAATCTAAACGCACAATTGAACCTTCCCACGTTGTCCATGAAATTTTTTTTAATTCAGACAACCTTATCACATCTGTTTGTAAGTTTTATATATTAGGCGTTTTAATACTTTGCGGCAAAAACAAAGAAATCAAACTTTTTGCTTTTTAGGTAAAAAGTAAAAATTGTTAGTTTTTACTTTGTACTTTTTTTTTTTTTCTTTTTTTTTGCTAAAAATAAAATTTCTTATTTTTTTTTGTTAAAGTTTTAGGTTAATTTTATTTTTATTATAAGTTTTTATTTTTTTATTTTTAATTGAGATACCTTGGTATTTTTAAAATAATGTAGTTTTTAATTTTATTTTAATATTATTGCTTGTGTAAACCTACTTCAATCTTTTGCTGGCAAGGTGTGCAATCACAGAGCTTGCCTGACAAAGCATATGTTTTGTTTCGACAACATGAACTTGTCTATTTACATGTTTTAACAATATATTTTGTGGTCAAGCTGGCATGCAACCATACACCTTTCCTGCAAAAGATGGTAAAAATTGTTTGGTATGTCTCCAAATGCAACTTGCAACAAAGGACTTTTAACAAAAACTTTTAACAAAAAAGGACTGTTGCATTAATATAGACAAATAAAACTATTTGCTTTTTTTATGATTTTTTACTTGTATTTTTTAATTATTTTTCAAATTATAGTTTAAAGAAATATCAGTTGCATATGAAGTTTTAAGTGATCCAGAAAAGCGAGAAATGTATGATAGATATGGTGAAAAAGGTCTTTCTGAAGGAGGATTTGGAGGGGGTAATTTTTTATTATATAAAATTTGAACTTTTTTATTAAATGTTTTTAAAATTAATATCTTTAAGTAAAAAAATTTCATTAAGGTATGGAAGATATTCTCAGCCATATATTTGGACATGGTGGGGGACATGGTGGATTTTTTGGTAAAGTTTTGAAAATTAAAATTGTTTTTAAAAAATTAATTAAGCATTTTTTTTTTAAAAATCAAAATTATTTATTTAGGTGGAATGGGTGGATTCGGTTCATTTGGTATGGGAGGTAGTTCAAGGCGAAGTCAAAAGCGAAAAGGAGAAGATACAGTTCATCCATTAAAGTAATTTTATGGCAAATTGAACATCTATATTTATTTATTTTGTATTGTGTTTTCCCAAAAATTTGTAAAACACCTATTTCCAAACAATTTTCTGCTTGGTTTATCTATATATCCCTTGGAATCAGGAAAAATATAGGCAATATGTTGCTTAAATATAGGCAATATGTTACCATAAAACATAGAAACAATGTCAGCAATTTTTTGCCAAACTCAAACACTTAGAGTTAGGCATTTAGGTTGACCTAGCCGAATGCCGACCTAAGTTCCGAGGGCCATATACATACATAAATTATTTTAGTGTATTCTACAGATAGAGTGTTCAATGTTCAATGTAAAGACAGAGCAATAATAATTTAGTAAAAACACCCATCTAAATTTTTTCAATAAGTTGTTTCACCATTAGTAGGTTTATTAGGAAGCTGATGAACCTACTGATAGTAAAACAATTTGTTGAAGAAATTTAGTGTTTTTACTAAAAAGCACTGTCAGGATGGTCAATTTTAAGTTCAGGAATTATCTTTTTCCGGATATTTCTGGAATTCCGGATATTTTTTTCAACTTTTGGTTTTTCCGGATATCCAAAATATTTTCAATACATGCAAGATAAGTTATAAATTTTTGTAATATATTTTTTTTTTAAGCTTTTTCACTTATCACTTGAAAAAATTATGAAAAGTAACAAAAAAATATTAGAAACAACTTAACTAAAAGCGAAATTAAAAAGAAAATAAAGGAAAACAATTTCCGGATTTTTTCCGTATTTTTTTCCCAAACCATTTTCCGGATTTTTAAAATATGACTAGGATAATCTATGTAAGTTAGCCTGCGCGATTTTAAAAATTTATTTTTTTCTGCTGTTTAAATTAAAATAAAAATAGCAAAAAGAATGCTTTAAATAAATAATTGATAAAATAATTTAAAAAAAAAACTTTTTAAAAAAAGCATTTTTCATAACATTTGAAAAAATGAATAAAAATATTTTTTGTTGCAATTTAAAACGAAACGCTTTCATTTTTTTTGGAAAATGCTTTTTTATGCGCTTGCCAAAATTTTTGTGGGCGTGTATAAAAAGACTTTAGTGTGAAAGCGCTAGCTAAACAGAGAAGACTGATATACATATTTATATATATGTTTGATCCCCACCACGTCCCTGGTAGTACTGCACTCAACTTGTTTCTCTACGCAGCGGCCTTGTTCTTTGTGGTTTGTGTTTCAGAGTTATAGAGTTGAGAGAGGGTTGTAGTGGCCTTCTCAGCCTTGGGGAGGTGAATAATAATAATAAAAAATTATATATATATCTATATATATATATATATATATATATATATATATATATATATATATATATATATATATATATATATATATATATATATATATATATATATATATCAGTCATGGACAGGAAAAGCTTACCATCGCACTCAAATCATGACCACGCAAGTAATTGTTTTTTGTTTTTTTTTTTCTTTGAAGGCTTGACCATGGTTTTTTGATAATTAAAAATGCGCTGAAAAAGACAGTGAAAAAATTATAAACAGGCTAAACTATAAAAATTAAAGAAATCTTAACAAAAGAGAAATTAAAATAAATTGAAAGTTTATTGCTCTAAAAAAAAATCAACAAATATAAATCTGAAAAACTAAAACTCTAATAGAAAGTTATTTTTAATTATATTTTACAATTATGTTAAGGTTTAATTGTCACGTTGCTTTGACGAGTTTCTAACTGATTTTTTTTATATTAAGAGAATAGCAAAAAAAATCTTTTTTGCTTTTTTTTTTAAATGTCAAAATAAAAGTATATGATTATTTTTTATTTATTCATGTGTTTTTATATACTAATCAAATTTTGTAAAAAAAAAAAGTTTTAGAAAGCCGTTACAATTTAACAAGTTTGATCTTAAATGCTTTTATATTATCGAAACGCTTTTAATGAAGTGAAAAAAAAAACTTCTAATTAATTTAAAAAAAAGTATTTATAAAATGTTTTTTTATTTTATTTATATAACTATGTATTTTTTATGAGAAATATTTAACTTTTGAACATATTAAACATATAAAAAATATATAAAAATGTTGAAACAAAGATTGAAAAGGTTTTTTAATGCTTAGAATAGATTAAATTATATTATTTATTATATATTATATTATATATATATATATTATATATATGTATATATATATATATATATATATATATATGTATATATATATATATATATATATATATATATATATATATATAAATTATATTATTTATTATATATTATATTATATATATATATATATATATATATATATATATATATATATATATATATATATATATATATATGTATATATATATTATATATATATATATATATATATATATATATATATATATATATATATTATATTATATTATATATTTTTATATATATATAAATTATATTAATATTAGAATAGATTAAGCATTTTAGTTAGATGAGTTTTGTTTTAGTTGCGATATATATATTTTTGTTTTTGCTTTAACTAAGTTTTTTTTTTTTTTCTCTCTTTCGTTAATTTTTTTTTTTTTTCAGATAAGTTTAGGTAATTTTTTGAAGTTAAATTTTTTTAATTTTTAAAAATATGCCATGGTCAAATCGTTAAAACATTTTTTTTTGCGTGGTCATATAAAGACATGAAATCGCACGTCTTCCTGTGAAAGCCTGATCTAATTATCGTTTAATAAAAAAATAACTTAAATCAAATTATCTTAATGTGCTTTTAAAAAAAGTTTATTGAAACGCATTTGTTGTCGTTGTTTATAAAATTAAAAATGCAAATTGTTAAAAAAATAATAATAATAATATTCTATGGTAATTTATTTAATAGCGTTTTAAAACTTGAATTAAAAGCGTTTAAGTGTAAACTAATTTTATTAGAAAGTTTACATAGCATAACAACAAAAAAATACGTCTTTGTTATGTTTTCAACTATTAAATTTATGGGTTCATCAGAAAGTTTATCTAAAAAATCATTTTCTTTGTTGTTTATAAAATTAATTATACAAATTTTTTTTTAAACTTTTATACTCATCATAAAAGTTATACTTTTTAACAATTACTTATACAATAAATAATTGTTAAAATAAAATTTATTTTAACAATTATAATATATAATACTAATATTTTATTTTAACAATTTCTTTCGATAATTTAAATGTCTTTTGTAGCATACAATCTTTGAAAGCAATTTCTTGCTTTATTACATTATACTTCATTCAGCGCATTTTTTATACATTTTTTAAAAACTTAAAAAGCTGTGATTAAGTTGTCGCAAAAAAATAATAAATAGGTGGTCAGGAATAGAATGCTATTGCACGCCTTTCCTGTCCACAACTTATATATATATATATATATATATATATATATATATATATATATATATATATATATATATATATATATATATATATATATATATATATATATATATATATATATATATATATATATTTATATTTATATATATTTATATATATATTTGTTTATATATATTTATTTATATTTATATATATATATATTTATATATATTTATAAATAGATTTATATATATATATTAGGGTGGTGCTTAAAACAACTTTTTTGAGAAAAACCTGCTGGTACCCCCTAAATGTGTTTTATCTAATACAAAAACACTAGGTTTACAATTTTTTTGAACAAAAAATATTTTTAAGGGTAGCTCAAGGCCCTCAAAAATTTGACGGGTCCCTAATATTTTGAAAAAAAAACTTTTTCTAAAGTATGTCAACCTGGTACTCAAAAGAAGCGATTTTATATAAAAACTTCAAAAATAATAATCATTTTACATAAAAAACATGCCTAAAAAAATTATTCTCAAAAAACCTGAAAATATTGACTTTTTTCATTTTTAGCTTAAAAACAATAGTTTTTATGCATTTATACCTGAAAAAATTATTTTTATAAAAAATTATTTTCATTTTTAAATTTTTTATATAATTTTGCTTATTTTGAGTACCAGGTTGACATACTTTAGAAAAAGTTTTTTTTTCAAAATATTAGGGACCCGTTAAATTTTTGAGGGCCTTGAGCTACCCCTAAAAATATTTTTTGTTCAAAAAAATTTTAAACCTAGTGTTTTTGTATTAGATTAAACACATTTAGGGGGTACCAGCAGGTTTTTCTCAAAAAAGTTGTTTTAAGCACCACCCTAATATATATATATATATATATATTTATAAATATATTTATTTATATATATTTATAAATATATTTATTTATATATATTTATAAATATATTTATTTATATATATATATTTATATATATTTATAAATAGATTTATATATATATATATATATATATATATATATATATATATATATATATATATATTTATATATATATTTATTTATATATATTTATAAATATATTTATTTATATATGTTTATAAATATATTTATTTGTATATATTTATTTATATATATATGTATATTTATTTATATATATTTATATATATATATTTATATATATATTTATATATATATATTTATATATGTATATATTTATTTATATATATTTATATATATATATTTATATATGTATATATTTATATATATATATTTATATATATATATATATTTATATATATATTTATTATATATATATATTTATATATGTATATATTTATTTATATATATTTATTTATATATATTTATATATATATTTATTTATATATATTTATATATATATACTTATATATGTATATATTTATATATATATATTTATATATATATATATTTATATATATTTATATTTATATATATATTTATATATATCAGGCTTGGCCCGGAAGACTTGCGATTTCACGTAATAATATGACCACACAAATACTATTTGATTTTACTTAACTTGACCACGGCTGTTAATATATTTTGAAAATTTGTATACATTTTAAAAATGCCATCAAAAAATCATCTTAACTATAAAGAAACTTGAAAAAAAACTTATCGTTAAATAAGCAAATAAATCTACGTAAAAAAAATAACAAAAAACAACTTAAAAAAAACTAAAATAGTTTTGCTATTTAGTTTTTGTTAAGTTTTTTTTTTTTTTTATGTATAAAAATATAACAAAAACAATGAAATTAAAAAAATTGTTGTTATTTTATTTGAAAAAGTAAAAAAAAAAAAAAAAATTTTAAACATCCGCAAAATAGAAAAATTATGTAATTACGGTCTGATTAAATGATATTGTAAGGTGATCTAATACATTAAAAAGATTGCTCCTGCATTTGTAACAATAAATAAGTTTTTTGTCTGAAACCAGTAAAGTTTAGAAGTAACCTGCTATCCTAAAGTTATATATTAAAAAGACCATATAAAACCAAATGGAGTACCGAGGAACTGGATAGAGAAAATATCCATAATAAAGTTCAATGTTTTGGTTAGTTTATGATATTTTTAATATTACTTTCTAATAAATACTGCTGCTTTAATGATATACATACATTTTAACTAAAAACATATTATTAGGAAAACTAAAGGTTTCATAATAACATGTATAAAAACATGTTATTGTAACAATTATTGTAATTATTGAATCTTTAAAATGCTTTAAATAATTCTCATATTTAAAAAGTATTTGTAAATATTGATTGAGAGTGTTTTTTTTGTAAATATTGATTGAGAGTGTTTTTTTTGTAAATATTGATTAGTATTTGCAAAATTAAAATAATAGTAATTCTAAATTCTTACGCCTTGTATTCGAAAAAAATACTTTATTTAAAAAAGACTTCGTAGAATATTATATTTTAAAAGCATCGTTTAATAAATACATTTAAAAGTTAAAAAAAAAATTTATAATAAAAAAATAAATAATAATATAATTATTAAAAAAAAAATTATTAATGTTTTTATAAAATATCATTAGCAGTGATTTGTTACTTTATTTAAATGCGTTTCAATAAGATAAAAACGTAAGTAAAGATCAAAATTATTTTATTCAAATGGCTTTCATAAAAATTAGTATTTTTTTTTCATCTCAACTATGATTCTTATATAAAGTTTATTTAAGGGACTTTCACTGTTTAAAGTCATCGCTTATAAAATTTGATTTATTTTTTTTGTTTTTTGTTTTTTTATTTTTAATTATAAAAAAATTTTATATAACAAAATAATATAAATAAAAATTTATGCAACTTTGAATGATATTTTAATTAAAATCATTCGCTACTTTTTTTAAAATCGTCTTGCTAATATAAAAACGTCAGTAAAGACAAACATGTTAAAGTTAATTATTTTCAATGTAATTAAAAAACTATTTTTTCAGCGCATTCGTTAAAAACTGTGGTTAAAACATCAAAACAAAATATTATTTTCGTAGTCATATAAAGACTTGAAATTGCACGCTTTCCTGGCCAAGCCTATATATATATATATATATATATATATATATATATATATATATATATATATATATATATATATATATATATATATATATATATATATATATATATATATATATATATATATATATATTTATATATATATATATATATATATATATATATATATATATTTATATATATATATATATATATATATATATATATATATATATATACATATATATATATGTATGTATGTATATATATTGTTTGCACATATTTTTTAATTGTATTATTAAAGCTAGCAATGTTTCTTGTGATTGTTTTAATGTTAGCAAAACATGTTACCATTTAGGGTTACATTAGAAGATCTATACAATGGAAAATTGGTCAATTTAAAGCTTAAGAAAAAAATAATTTGCACCTCTTGCAAAGGGTTTGTATTATTTCTTTTATATTAATAAAGAATATAGTCAAAGTGTATTTAAAGAAACATATATATATATTATATATATATATATGAATATATATATATATGAATATATATATATATATATATATATATATATATATATATATATATATATATATATATATATATATATATATATATATATATATACTTTATATTTATTTAAATGTAATTTAATGTGATTAGTTAACTGTCTCTTTGGATTATTGTTGTTATGTAAAGGTATCTGTTCAATAAACAATAAAAGCGTTTAACAATAAACAATAATTTTCATTTACTCTACTGGATTATTTATTTACAAGAAAGTAACATTATAATAGTAGAGCTAAACAAGACGAGTTTCCTTCATACCGAGGTAACTCTCTGCTGGGTAGACATGTGGGATTTGAACCTGCCCTTCTGTTGCTATGGCCAATAATAATTCCAAACTTCTAGTATTGCACAGTGGGCCAGGTGGGGACAAAACCTAAAAAATAGATGTTTATTATATTCAAAACCATATTATAAAACCTATTTGTAATACTCTCATTTAAAATTTTGAAAATTGTTTTGAGTATAATAGTATCTTTGAAAACCACAAAATTCAGTTGTGGCTTCATGTATAAGTTTAAATTTTTTTTTTTTTTTTTAAAAAAAGCGCAAAATTTTTTTTTTTCAATGTACAGCTATAGTAAACAGTAACTTTTAAAATTTGATGAGCTTATGTGATTAGTTTATATATTTAAACTATTTAACAGTAAAGCTTTACGAAAAAAGTATAAAATAAAGATCAGCTTTTATAATACACTAATAATCTGGCCTTAAAATAACGAGGTAAATGTTTAATATTTAATACTTTTAATTTGTACAAATAGTGTCACATAATTTAGGTAACCTACGAGAACCTATATTAAATACTTGAATTAGTAAATGTAATATGTATACAACCTATTTGAACTATATACATTGCCTCTAACTTCCCCTTTTGGGTTTCTTTAACATTTTAAAATAATGACTTGTAACTTATGTTATTTGCTTGAAATCAACTTTTATTTCTCGTAAAAAAAAATACATGTTATTTTGTTTGTTATTTTATTCTATGCAAATTGTACTGTTTGCCTAACAATTTTTTTTTGTTTTTTGTTTAGTAATAATATAAAAATTGGTGACATTTAATAAACTAGTTTCTAATGATTAACCATTCTTTTCATTGAAATTAACTGTTCTATCTTCTGCAGATATTAAACTAGAGGATTATGAGTGAAAAACCTTATAAAATTATAATGTAAACTGTTGCTAGGTGCAAACAATAATAATACTCATTTTGAGAGAAGCAGGCCTTGCGATAAAGCGTCGGGCGATGTGAATTTTACGTCGTCCAAGAGCGATTTTGCATGTAGCTAGAGCTATTTGCGTCTAGCAAAAAAATTTTTGTTTGAGTATATTTAAAGATATTTTTGAGCGGAATTTTAATGAAGTAATTTACGATTATTTTAACATTTAATAAAGTATTTTAAAAACCGCGCTATGTTGAAATAAAAGTTTGAATTTAAAAAATTTAAATATGCTCATTATTTACAAGTAGAAAAAATTCAAAAATTAAAAAAAAAGTTTAAATCTTTTAAGCTAACATTTAATTAAAATTATTCAGCAATAGCAAAGTTGTCGATAAAATTGAACAAAAATGCTTTCTTTTAGTTTTAGATTTTAAACTTAAATAATTATTTTACAGGGGTTTGTTAGGTTTTAAAATTATTCCATAGATTTAAAAATATTTATTAACTGTTAAACGTATTTTAAGTATTTAAGAGTTATTTCGAGGAAACATTTTAAAAATTGATAAGCGCAAATAAAAAAAAATAAAAAAATTAATATTAAAATGTATTCTACTTGATTCAATAAAAAATTACAGTTATTAAAATTTTTGTAAAAACTCGAAAAAAATTACTTAAATAATAACGATCGCTTTTATGTTAAAAGTTACCGAAACTCAACGAAGCGTGCTCAAAAACAGCTGCTGAAAAATAGAACGTCAATAGTTTTTCGAATAATTTTTAATAATAATTTTTAAGAATAATTTTTTCGCTGAAATATTTCTTTTATACCTATAAGATTTTTATTCTAACATTTTATTTTATTTTACTAGAAATAAAATTCCTTGTTAACATTAAAAATTATTCAAAACGTTCGTTTAAGTTTTTTATTAATACAAGTGATTGTGCTTATCAACCGCTTTTTGAAAATAAATAAAAATAAATAAATAAATATTATATAAAATCGCTTGTAAAAATATTAGCTAAAAAAATTTTCAGTTTATTACTCGCTGACTTTTTAAAAAGAAAAAATAATTATTTGAAAAACTTTAAATTACATATTTAAGAAAAAAAAATCAAATATTAGCATATTTTATAATCTTTTTTAAATTTAAGTTATAATGTTTTTTATTCGTTTAGTATAGACAAAACGTGACAAACGTCGAGAAAATAAACAAATGTTTTTACATTTTAAAAAACAAAACATTCCAAAACATTTTTAAATAATAACATTTCTACATAAACGATTTAAAGTAGTTTTGCGGTAATTAAGTAAATTGGTGCAGTTAATGTCGATAAATATGAAAAGCAAATAAAAAGAATTTAATGACGTCAAAAATCACGTCGTGCTTATGCGTCGCGCAGTTCTTATTCATCGCAAGGCCTGGAGAAGTAATGAAAATTGGCTAGCTCAAGATTTTCAATACACCTAGGGTATATTAAATGCTACATCATTAGTTAATAAAGTTGGAAAATCATGTTGCCCTTTTGAAAAAGCTGGTAACAGAACAAAAAGAATAAACTTAAAAATTTTTTTAATATTTTTATTACCCATAAAGTACTTTATGCAACAAAATTAAAACTAAGAAGTGTTAAGTACAAAACTGGCACAAAAATTTATTAAATTTGATATTAACCCCCATTATACCTGCTTAGATATATTCACCTGATAAAGCTTTAACATTAATATTAATGGTAATATATCAAAATCACCATACCAGCTTCTAAAAAAATGGTGCTAAAAAAAAAGCTGCCACATATATCCTTTATATAATGATCTATATATTTATATATATCCTATTATATAACATCTTCAAAAGCTAAATTCCAAGAACATTCAAATAGATGGCTATTTAGTACAAATGCTGCTAAAAGATCTTCTCAAATACACTCTTAAAAAGCTATGTGGTATACAAACTACTGTGCTAATCACTATGCTAAGGAATTATCTAAACTGACGTTTAGATGCAAGGCTGGTTTTTGATGGTGCTACAGGGTATGTTTACAAACAGGATAGTGTTTACAAACAGGTAAGTTAAAATGAAAATAGTGACAAATAAAGAATATAAATGATTATTTGCATATTACCTTTAGAACTCATTAGACTTCATAATAATCATAGATGAGTTTTTTCCGGGAATTCCCGGAATTCCGGAAATTCACATCAAGTTTCCGGGAAATTCCGGATGCTTTTTGCTATTGATTTGTAAAAAGTTATATAAAATTTTATATACGACATGGTTTGCATTTAAGCAATTATGTTTTCTATAAATGAAATTTTCACGAGATCAATTTTTTAAAAAAAAATTTTATTTTTTCAATTCATTCAAATTAACTTTTTCTTAAGAAGTTAATTGATGTAAATTCCGTTTTCAACGTTTGCAAAAGATCTTGTCGTTAAAAATTACTATCAAGAAGAAAGAAAAGAAAATGCAAGTTAAGAGTTTACAAACAAGTGTGATTATCAAGGCATGCTTAAGTATTTTTAGTAGTCTTCATGTTGAGCAATCATTCAGCATGATGAACACCATAGTTAACAAAAAGACAAACCGTCTTGATACTTTAACGTACTCTGCTATAGCTTCAGTTAAGTATCAATTATTAGCAAACGAGACCACAGCAGTAGGGTACTTTAAAAGGCGAGATATATTGCATGACCCAGTTAACAAAAATATCTGTGGTCATTTGCAAACTGCAAGCAAACGCTATAATAAAAAAATGAAATTCCATCGGAAAAATAGAAAAGTTGAAGAAAGATTTTTAAATATAAATTCAACGTGGAAAAAAAAAATTGCCTTACATGAACAGTGCAAAAAAGTTAAAGAATCTATTATTGATCATGCAAAAAAGTGCAGAAAAAGAAAAGCTGACGAATGCTTCACAACAGAAAATTATAAGAAAAAAAAGTATTGATTCCTGACATTTATTCCATTGTCTTACATTTTATATTTTAAATATAAAGAAATTATTGCGCTTTGCAGGTTGCTTATGTTAAAACTGAGATATTATATTTCATTTTAGAGAAACATAATTAATGAGTAGTTTTTAGTTTCTTTATTTATCCCTTTACCAACGTTCCAGAATTTACCCACATACCTTCGTCAATTTATTGACCCAAAATTTTTCCGGGATTTTCCGGAATTTTCATGAAAATGACTTTCCGGGATTTTCAAAGAAAAAAATTTCCGGGATTTTCATAAAGTCAAAAACTCATCTATGAATAAAAAAAATGTTGTAATATTATCTAGAATGTACAGCCAACAGATTAAAAATTAAAAAATGCATATATCAAAATGAATAATAATCTACAGACTTATTCAAAACACCGTGGACATATAATATCAATAATAGAGTTTCAAATCTAGTGATAAATTTTCATTTTTTTTAAGTTTAATCCACCTTCATTATTCAGTTCCACAATTTTTAGAAGTTATAGGATTTGAAATTAAAAATTTAGAAATCTGCGTTTTTCAAGTTTTATAAAGTTTGTTAAACAATTTTTAGGGTTAGCCACTATATAACTAAAATTTACAATAAAAGTAAGTATATCTTAATACTAAGTGATCTTTGGACATATAAATGTTTTTAGTAAAAAAAAAGAAGATCAAAATAATTTCGTCCGCCATATGTCTAATATCTGGCCCACTGTGCATCGCTCTAACCAACAAACATGTTGCTTTTTTTTTCATCCACCTCTCTAATTCGGCAGACACAAAGTAAAATAAAAAAATGTTTAATGATTATATAAAGACTGATATCGTCAAATTAGGTCGATTTAAAATCACATATCATATAAGAAATAACATAAATATGTAAAGGCTGATATTGTTATTTTTTATTATTAATGATATATGACCAGAACAAAAAGTTTTTAAATTCAAAATAAAATAATTATTTTGTAGAACTGGTGGAAAAGGTAACGCTGTCCAAAGATGTAGCTCCTGCAATGGAAATGGTATCAAAGTAAGTTTTCAACAGTTAGCTCCAGGAATGGTTCAGCAAATTCAAAAAGTTTGCTCAGACTGCAATGGCGAAGGTAGTAACTAATTTTTGTACTATTTTATTTTAAAAGTTATATATCATGAATAATTCTTACCTAAGGAGGCAATTTCCTAATAAATTTTTAAATGTGCGCTTTAATACTTCAACAAAAAAAAAAAAAAGAAATAAAAAAAATACAATACAGAATAACAAAAGAAAAGATTGCTGCTCCAGCTCAAACCCTTATGCCCTATGCATTAGTCAGCACTCCTTTGCAGCAGCAGGCTGTTTCAGTATGGCGTCACACTGCTTATCTGATCATCCATTTATACTTCGAATTCAGCGCAAGAGTGCAAAAAAGCTTTCCTAACATGTATATGGCAAGCCATGCCAGCTCCTCCATGATGTACTCCTCTAAACAGCTTTTACAAAAGCTTTTGGTTTTTGCGCCAGCTATCTGTTTATTTGTTAAAAAATTGAATATTAAAAACAAAATTTGTATTCTCATTACAAGTACATACTTATAACAATAATTTTACAAAAATATATACATAACAAGCATTGTTTGCAACATCATCATGCTGTGAATAAATTTTTTAGACAAGCGTTTTCTTTGGGTTTTCATACTAACAATCCATTTATTTATTAACAACTTTACTTATTTGACAAAAAGTTATTTGATAAAGCTCACAAAAGCGTAACAAAGATACGACTTAACCTAAAAAATTAAATTTTGCTGTTTAAAAAAGTAATATTTGTATATTTGCACAAGTTTTATTTTGCCTGAATAAACTTACTTACACAGGTGTAGAGGCAGGTGCGGGTGATGCCGGGGCCTTTTTTTTTCTGAAAACAACATAAACTATAAAGATAGGAAAAACGTTAAAAAAATGTTATCTATATACATATATTAGAGGTATGTGTGTGTTTGTGTGTGTGTGTGTATATATATATATGTGTCTTTTCTGTTTATAGTTTAATACAAGTGCACGAAAAAGTGCTGGTTGCATGGTCATATTTAATTCACCTTTTTATGCTATTGAAATTAAAAATTAACAGAAAAAAAAAAAAAAAAAGAATGCTTTGAAATAATACTAGAATTTATAGTAAAACAAAGATTTTATTTAAATTTTAGATAAAATAATTAAAATGAAAACAATAAATAAAAAGTAAAAAACATTTTGTATAAATATTAAACAAAATAATTAAAATAAAAACAAAAAGTCGCATGTGTTAATTAAATATTAACTGAAAGAATTGAAATGAAAATTGAAATGAAAAATGAAAGAATTGAAATGAAAAAATGAAAAAAAAAAAAAACAATAAAAAAAAACAAAACAACAATTGATGATATTTATATTAAATAAAATAATTAAAAGCAAAAAGATAAGTGTTTAATTTAAATTTTAAATGAGATAATTAAAAAAACCATTTGATTTAAATTTTAGATAATATGATTTTTTAAAAAATTTTAATCCTAAATAAAAGAATTACATTAAAAATGGAAAAACAAATGCTTTATTTAAATTCTAAATAAAATAATTCACACATAAGTATTTTCAAATTTTTTTTTATAAAAGTATTATTTGCAATTTTAAAAAAATGCTTTTATTTTTTCGGCAAGCACTTTTTTATGTGCTTGCCAAATGTTTAGCGGGAGTGTGGGCAAGGGTGAAAAGACTTAGGCGCAAAAGCATGGCTAAATAAAGAAGACTGATATATATATATATATATATATATATATATATATATATATATATATATATATATATATATATATATATATATATATATATATATATATATATATATATATATATATATATATATATATATATACACACACACATGCATACATACATACAACTCTTGGAATTAGGAAAAATGGGGTCAGCAATAATTAGCCAACCTCAATCTTTTAGAGGTTGGCATATGATAGATAGGGTATATGATAAAAGAGCTCTAAAAGTTTTTGCCCCCTGAAGGAAAACTAAGGGTTTTCAAAATCATGGTTTTGGTCGATTTCATTTGCCAATATTGATTTATTGCTATGTATTCTTGACCTTAAAATTGACTTTAAATAAAACCTTATTGAACTTGATATTTAAACACAAAATTTCTAGCAAAATTTTTTAAATAAAAATTTTTAAGATCTTTTTTGATATATTTTTGTTTTACATATTTTTTCTATTTTGCTTTCTTTTTATTCCAATATGCCTAATTATTTTAATAATCATTATTAAATTTGTAATTTATTGTTTATTATTATCCTTTTATCAGAATATTTATATTTATCATTGTTTAGTTTAGTTTTTGATTTTAAATTAAAAAGTTTTTTTCTGTTTTATTGTTATTTATAAAATATTTTCAGGAGAAGTTATTGATGCTAAAAACAGATGTAAAAAATGTCTCGGTAAAAAAGTATGTGATGAAACAAAAATTTTAGAGGTAAAGTATTTTTCATTTTATTTTTTTAGTATGTGTAAATTATAAGTTAAGGGCCTTCAATTTACTGAGTTTTTTTGCTTTTTAGAACATTTTTATATGTTAATTTGTAAATATTTTGCAGCAGGGGTGTGTAGTTGTAAAAAAAAAGAAACGAATTGGGCTCCGACTCCAGTTGTTGAAATTTTTTGAGTACAACTCCAACTCCAAAGCAAAATTTTTGAAAAATTCTTTGAATTCTTTAAAAAATATTATGCGATAAGTTAAAAAAAGTTTTTTGAAAAATTTATGAAAAATTCTTTGAGGTTTAGTTTAAATATAAGGTTAATTGAATGTTTTATACATGTGCAATACAGAGAAGTTTTACTATTGGAGTCGGAGTCACGTTTTTGTTTAGCAACTCTGACTCCGCTAAAAATGCCGCAACTCCGACTCCACAACACTGTTTTGCAGTTAAATTAAAATACAAATTTGAAAGGTATTATATGAAAAAATTAATTTGATGTTTTCATAAAGAAATAAGTGATAACATTGAAGCATTAGGTTGGTAGATTAAGGTTGATGACTGGAAGTAACTATAAAGTTTTGGTACATATGTTTACTGAGAGTTTAGATTTAAGCGGTATGCATGAGTTTGCGAGACAAAAATTCTTTATTTCCTCTTTTTTAAAAGTTTAAGGCACTTAAAACTTTAAAGGTAAATTGAAGTAAATTTTTAGATATACCTGATTTTTAGCCTTATTCTATTGAAATTATCAAGATATTGAAATATCTTGCAATATTTATTCAAGATGATATCTGATACAGGTCTTATGATGAATTTTTGTTAAGTATTTTAGTGTTATTTATTTTCATATTTCACAAATAAATAAATACAAAATAATTGTTAACAATTTTAGTAATAACAAAAAATAATTGTTAACAGTTTTAATAATAAATCACTAACTATTGAAATTGTTAATAATTATTATTATGTATGTTGTTATACATAATAATAATAATAATTGTTATTGCATTTTTAATGTACATACTTCGACTGACTGTTGCAGACCATGCAACAGTGTACAAACTTTGATTGACTGTATGGAAGAATATGCAGCAGAGTATACAAGCATTGACAGATGGTTTTAAGCAAAAAATTTATTTGCTTTTGACTTTTAGTTATGAGTATATTATGTTTATTGCTGATTATGATTATGCCAATTCAGCATGATATATTTCTAATATTCCAACAATTTTATCATGTTTTTTTTTAAGCATTTATTAACCATAGTAGTGTGATGAATGAAATTGCCCAGCGCGATATTTTGCGCTCGTAATACTGAAATACATTATCAATAAGCATGATTATGCACACTTGGCAACAAGTCTTTGAGAGTGATACTCATAAGTTGCCATGTGGCCATCCATAAATTATGTAAGCAGGTATGGGGAGGGGGTCACTCAAAAACATACCAGTTCGTACAAGGGAAAAGGTGGAAATTTTTTTTGAATTTTTTTAATGTGAAGTCCAAGAAATAAAGATGAAAAACTTTAATGTTTTAGTTAATGCATTTGTCTATTTACGGATATTAAATAAAAACAATAAAATATTGCCATTTACTAAAAGTTGACAACATAACTTTGTTTCCTATTGGAGTTGAATTAATATGCTTGATTGCGGACATTCTAAACAACAGAAATATTTTTAATTTAATTTAAAATAAATAATAGCTAGGAATAAAAAAATACAATAAGAATAGTTCTTTTATTTACAAAAGATGTGTGAAATATTAAAAACAAAAAAGGAAAAGAATCTTATGTTATTATACAATTTTGCAGATTAAAACTTTTGATTTTTCAATATTCAATCAAGTTTTGATTTTTTAATTTAAGTTTTCTATTTTCATTGGGACGAAATGTTTTGAAAATAGTAAACATTCCATTCTATCTGTTTTTGATTATATACTTAATATATTAGACTTATACTAATATAATATATAATACTTATATAATATATATACTCATTACTACTAATATATAATACTTATGTAATATATATTAGTGTAAGTATATACTTATACAAATATCATATATAAATAACTTATATACTGATATATATTTTGAGAAATGCGTTTATGAAACTAGTATCGTTATGTTTTTTTGTTTGTTTGTTTGTGAGCATGCATCCAAAAGTTTCAAACAACAGGTATAACAGGTATATTTGTTATACATGTTATTTTTTTTTGAAACTTGATTTTTTATGAAACTTTTTTTTTTAAATAGTTAGTTTGGTTTAGCTTTAACTTTTCTAATAATTAGACTTTAATATAAGCCAGTTTGATGATATCAGTGAAAGTATTTAGTTTATTAAATTATATTTGACAAAAAGTATTTTATATTCAAATGTTTTGAATTTTATTTGTTTTTGAATTTTAAATATAATAGTCCTTAATTAATAGAATGTGATCGAGTCTGTACCAAATCAAAGCTATAAGTGAAGTTTTAGTTTATTAAATTTGACTGGCTATTTTGATGTTTTAACAATTTAAAAGCAATATAAAAATTTAGGTTATGTTATGGTAAAAATTTAGGTTAGGTTATGAGTAATTTTTTATCGTTGATCTTTTATAAAGTTTTTATTATGATTTTAAATAAAATAGAAAGTTAATTATAAAGCATTTAAACTTTTATGTAAATTAAATGTTATATTTAATTATTTTTATTGGGCATGTATTTTTTATGATAAATTTAAACAATTAAAACTATTTTTCCATGTCTTTCTAAAAAAATTTTAAAAGATCATTTTTTTTAAGTTACTTTAAATGATGAATAGGTTAAAAAAAAATCTTCCCCTTGCAATGAAATTTAATTGCTTTATTTATTTGTTTCTTTTTTTTAAAAAGAATTGTTTAAAGGTTTTTTTTTTAAACTTGACTTTATAAATCAGAGTTGGTAAATCTTCAAATTTTTTTATAACTTTTTTACTTTTATATAGATTTATCATTGAATAATTTGTAAATATAACTTAAAAAGTTTACACTGGTGTTGATACTTTACACAGCATTCTACAGTGTTATACATATCAAACTTTCGCGGCAAGGAGTTTAAAATATAGCAAAAAGTTACCAAAAAGCCAATTACTACTTTGAAAAGACTACATTATTATTAAAAAAAAATTTTTTTCCATCTTTTTGAAAAAAATTGTATAAACATACAGTTTAAAAATATTATATATTTTTTCTTTATAATAATAAAATTTTACTTTCAATAATTTAAATAAAATTTGTTCATTTATTAAATAATCATTAGAAATAATTTGTAAAAACAAATAAAACTTTTCAAAAGATAAATTTTAAAGAATTTGTTTCAAATGCAATAAAAAATGTAACAAAAAGTAATTTTTGCTCCGAGTTTAAATTTTTTTTTTGTAGTTTAAGTTTAGCTTAGCATTATTATTTTCAGCGCATTTCTGAAATGCTTTCTGAAATGTTCTGAAATCATTAAAACATTTAAACAGTTGAAGTCAATTTGTCAATTAAAAACCCTTCGCGTGGTCAGCAATAGTGTTCGATCGCAATCCATTCCTGTCCCAGCCTAATTATAATATAAATATAAATTTCCTGTTTACAATATTTCTATGTTATCTTCCTGCATTCAACTGAACTTTTGATAAACTGGTTTAAATTTTAAATTTTTTAATAAAGTGAATTATTTTAAATTCAATTTTTTGTTAAATACAAAATTATTTTGCACACTTTTACTTGTTGTTGTTGTTGTTGTTGTTAGGTACAAGTTGACAAAGGTATGAAAGATTCTCAGAAGATTACATTCCACAATGAAGGAGACCAACAGGTAAGTGTGAAAATATTTGTATTTTTTGCATATTTTACATTTGTAAACATGCAAGGTTTTTGTTAGTTTTAAATATTTTAAAACATCTATAACATTGACAGCCTGGTATTGAAAGTGGAGATGTCATAATTGTTCTAAAGCAAGTTGAACATCCGCGCTTTAAGAGAAAAGGCAATGACTTATACTTAAAATTAACAATTGGTTTAACTGAAGCACTATGTGGGTTTGTTATACCAATTCAACATTTAGACAATCGTGAATTACTTGTTACAAGCAGTGCTGGAAAGGTTATTGAACCAGGTATTTTTTTTTTTAATTTTTTATATGTTCTATATATATATATATATATATATATATATATATATATATATATATATATATATATATATATATATATATATATAGGTATTTTATTTTAAAAATTTTATATGTTTTATATATATATATATATATATATATATATATATATATACAGGCCTTGCGATAAAGCGTCGAGCGATGTGAATTTTACGTCGTCCAAGAGCGATTTTGCATGTAGCTAGGGCTATTTGCGTCTAGCAAAAAAATTTTGTTTGAGTATATTTAAAGATATTTTTGAGCAGAATTTTAATGAAGTAATTTACGATTATTTTAACATTTAATAAAGTATTTTAAAAACCGCACGCAGTTGATATAAAAGTTTGAATTACAAAAAAATTAAATATGCTCATTATTTACAAGTAGAAAAAATTCAGATTAAAAAAAAGTTTAAATCTTTTTAAGCTAACATTGTAATAAAATTATTCAGCAATAGCAAAGTTGTCGATAAAATTGAACAAAAATACTTTCTTTTAGTTTTAGATTTTTAACTTAAATAATTATTTTACGGGGGTTTGTTAGGTTTTAAAATTATTCCATAGATTTAAAAATATTTATTAACTGTTAAACGTATTTTAAGTATTTAAGAGTTATTTCGAGGAAACATTTTAAAAATTGATAAGCGCAAATAAAAAAAAAATAAAAAAATTAATATTAAAATGTATTCTACTTGATTCAATAAAAAATTACAGTTATTAAAATTTTTGTAAAAACTCGAAAAAAATTACTTAAATAATAACAATTTTAAAACAATTGTTAAAAGTTACCGAAACTCAATGAAGCAGGCTCAAGAACAGCTGCTAAAAAATAGAACGTCAATAGTTTTTCGAATAATTTTTAAGAATAATTTTTTCGCTGAAATATGTCTTTTATACCTATAAGATTTTTATTCTAACATTTTATTTTATTTCATTTTACCAAAATTAAAATTCCTTGTAAACATGAAAAATCTATTCAAAACGTTTGTTTAAGTTTTTTTAGTAATACGAGTGATTGTGCTTATTAACCGTTTTATGAAAATAAATAAAAATAAATAAATAAATATTATATAAAATCGCTAGTAAAAATATTAGCTATTGCACAGTTTTTAATCATACAATATTAAAAATTCCAGTTTATTACTCGCTGACTTTTTAAAAAGAAAAAATAATTATTTGAAAAACTTTAAAATACATATTTGAGAAAAAAAAAAATCAAGTATTAGCATATTTTGTAATCTTTTATAAATGTTTAGTTATAATGTTTTTTATTCGTTTAGTATAGACAAAACGTGTCAAACATCGAGAAAATAAACAAATGTTTTTACATTTTAAAAAACGAAACATTCTAAAACATTTTTAAATAATAACATTTCTACATAAATGATTTAAAGTAGTTTTGCAGTAATTAAGTAAATTGGTGCAGTTAATGTCGATAAATATGAAAAGCAAATAAAAAGAATTTAATGACGTCAAAAATCACATGGTGGTTATGCGTCGCGCAATTTTTATTCATCACAATGCCTGTATATATATATATATATTTATATATATATATATTTATATATATATTTATATATATATTTATATATATATATATATATATATATATATATATATATATATATATATATATATATATATATATATATATAAATTATGTTAGTGTATTTATATATTTTTTGTTTTATGGTATGTTTCATCAATTAAGTCTCATCAGAAATCAGGTCTTGTTTTAAAGCGTTAAGCTGCTAGCTATTTATGTACACATTAGGCTGTTTTACGTACGCCTAAAGTGATTTTTGTTAAGCAACTTTTTATAATTTTTTAACTCTTAAATGATTCCATAAGCGGTAAGATAAAAGAACTTATAAATCTTATAAAGTCTTATAAAAAAATAAAATATAAATCTTATATATAAAAATCTTATAATAAAATATAAATCTTATATAATCTTATAAAAAAACAATTTGAAATTTATGTAAAATAGTTTTTTACAAAAGTTTGAATGACAGTTATGTCGGATATAAGTGTTATTTACAAATAAAAAAATTCAGATAAAGTTAATAATAAAAAAACTGAAGCTGCATGTTTATTAATTAATTCGTGCTTTAGTAGCTACAAATATTGACTTTTAAGGTATATGTTATATGACAAATGCTTTTTTTTTTCACTTTATAGTTGATATTTTACAAACCAGTTTTTATGGCCCTACAAAGTTTACAGCCCCCTCAAATTGAGGAGGGTTAAAACTTTATATGGTCATAATTTTCAGAAAATAAGAAATTATTGGATGAAATTTGAAATATGTTGATGAATATAAACTTAGATGAAAATACTAAAAAAAATTATTTTATCAACTTGTTGCTCCCACCATAACGGTTGGGTAGGCCCAAAAATTGTTTTTTTTTTTGTTCCCAAGCTCTTATCATCGCAACTCTTTGCAAAACATTCTCATTTGACATTTTATAAACATACAAAAGTTTGGAGTTTGAACAATACCTGTAAGTGTCAAAACTCAAACATCTAAAAGTCCAGTGTACACCACTGCTATTACTACTTTATAAAAAAAAAATTATAAAAAATAAATTTTCAATAAAAACTTGCACTTGGAAAAATGTACTTTTTTATTTCTAGTTAAAAAAATAATAGTTTTTATGCAATTAAATCTGAAATAATAATTGTAATATGAAATTATTTTTTTTTGAAATTTTTATATAATTTCACTACTTTTAAGACCCAACATGACCCAAATCATACTTTCAAAAAACTTTTTTTTCAAAATAATAGGGACCTGTTAAAAATACACTTATTTATTAAATTTATAATAATATACACATATATATGTAATTTGTCAAGTTTATAAATTACACTGTCCAACAGTAATTTTGTTACAGAACTAAAATTAGTTATTTCTTATGTATTTCCACCTGCTGAGTTCAAAAATGACATTAAAAATGAAATATTAGCTCTAGTTTAAGAAATAAAAGCAAAAATTTGTTCTCAAGGGTATAAATTTTCTTTTTTTTTTTTTTTCATTTTTTTTTGTTTTTTGTTTTGTTTTTGACTATGCATAATGTTTTATTCATGTGTAAAACTTGTGATATTAGTTATGTGTGTTGTTATGTCCACATATATGCTGTAGCTCTTGTTTGGTTACACTAGGAAAATGTTTGAAAAATAAAAAAAAGATCTTTTGCTGTTCCTTTGGTATGGAAGGAGCCTATAAACCATACAGATGACTGCTATTTCTGCTTGACTCCACCCATTAAGGCAGGTTTGTCAATAAAGAAAATAGGAACAGTTAAATATTCGAATCTTTTATCTGCCACTCAACATATTCCACATTCAAGTAGTTTACCAGTTTCTACTCCACCACAAAGTTGTGAGTTAGAAGCAGAAAATGAAATAGAAATAAAAGAAAAACAAGCCTTCCACATCATATGATACTGATTTTGTGTTAATAGATAATGTGCCACATAGACTCAAGCAGATTTAAGTGATCTTGTTTGAGATCTTAACTTGTCACAGAAAAAGGCAGAACTTCTAGAGTCAAGACTAAAGTAGTGGAACCTTCTCCAATTTGATGTCAAGGTTTCACATTACAGAAAACGGCAGCAGAATCTGCTTTCTTTTTTTTTGAAAAAATCAATCTTGTTGTTTGCTATACTAAATACTGCTGCTTTTTGTGTATGTGGGGTAGTAGAGACAGAAGTTCACATTATGTAAAAGAACACTGATCTGCAAGAAATCTTAACACAAATTAAAAAAATGTTATTGCTGAACCATTTGCAGTTCCAAAAGATGTTCTTCCGCCATTACATATTAAGTTAAGTTTAATGAAAATTTTTGTCAAGTGTATGAACAAAGAAGGACAGGCTTTTAGGTATTTAACACTTTAAGGTCAGAGGGTGGAAAACGCTAGTGTTTAATAAAATATACAATTGAAATATACTAATTAGGGTCTAATAATAGACAATACACATTTTTTCAATATATCAGGGTGATTGTTACCAATGAAACTGAAGTGGGACTATTATGTCCCATCAGGCAATAAAAGTTTCTTTTTTTTAAAATTTTAACTACATAAAGAAAACCAAAATGTTTATTGTTTAATATATTTCAAATAAATTTATCTAAATGTTATGCTGTTTCTAAAAACATTTTTTTTCATTTATGCACAAAAAAAAATATTACAAGTGATTCATTTTAAAATGTGGTCTTGACTCAATCTTTACTTTTGAGCAAACTTTACATCTTCCACAGTCAGTTGCATAAAAAAGCCAATCAATGTCTTGATTTCAATAGGATTAATAATAACATATTGATATCGCAATCAAAATCAGATGATTCAGTTCTACTAATATCACCAGAAAGAAGATCTTGTAAAATTATATCAGCAGCTTCTATAGTGTTGTATTGAATCTTACGAATCATATTTGATTATAATTTTAGTTTTTTTCACTTTACTTCCCAGGAAAGGCGTGCGGTTTTTCGTCTTGTATGACCTTACGTGAGTATATTATTTTAAACAACTTGAACACGGCTGCTTGCAAGTTTTATAAAAATCAATGCTGAAAAAGTTTCAAAAACAAAAAAAAACTAAATTAGCAAAATAAAAAGAGATTGAAATACAAAAAATAAAAATAAATTAATAATTTAAATAATTTGTGTACTGTTTTTATTTTTGTTTCTTTAGAGTGGTTGTTACATTCAGCAACAAAATTAGATAAGGCGAAGTAAAAAAAAAAAAAAAAAACAGTTCGAAGTCTACAATAAAAAGAATGATTTTCCTTTTCTTGACTTTTTTTTTTTAAGAGAATAGCAAAAATACAAATTGCAATATGTTAGTAAAATTTATTTGTATAATTTTAATGTAACAACAAGGGTTGAATTAAGCGAATGCGAAACGCAAAATCTGGAAAAATATCTAGTATTCAAAATTTTAGTTTATACAAAACCGTGTTCCATGTTTTTAAGGGGAGAATCAACTTAAATTTATAAGTGAAATAATAAAGTAATAAACTTACGATTACAAAAGTAATAACACTCTAGTCACTAACTGCATTACAAAAGTAATGATAATACTAAAATAGTGTTATTACTTTTATAACGCACTTATAACTTTTAAAATTCATTCTTTGTTCATGCAACATTAGTATTCTCAAATTCTAATTGAAGTAGAAAAATATCTAGAAGAATAGAGTGGATGTTCAAATAATATTTAAAACTTTAATAACTTCAGGCCTTCTCAGGAGAGGCGTGCGGTCACACACCTCTCCTGAGGTGTGCGACCGCACGCCTCTTTTTTTTTTAACTTTGCATTTATTAAAAATGACGCATCTCAAAAACGCGCTGAAAAAACAAAATTAGTTGCTAATCTTTTTTTAATTATTATTAATAATTCATTATTATAGTTATTAATGACAAAATAAAAACATTAAAATAACATATATGCAATTCCATTTTTAACTTACGTTACACGCGCAACAACTTTACCAAATATTAGCTTATTTATACTTTTAAATTAAACTTTAAGCAATTTTGTATGAAAGCTGTTAGTCTAATAAATAAAATAAGCTTAAAAGTTTTGAGTTCGGCCAAAAGAAAGCAAACTTATTACTAAAAACGCCACTTGCACTTATGTTACACAGAAAACAAGGTAAAAAAACAAATTCAACTTATAGGTCTCATTTCTGCAAATCAGTAAAGCAGTTTGTATTAGAAACTTTTACAAAATGCAGATAATTCTATACCAATTTAAAATTTTTATAAAAACTTTTTTGAAATAAACTTGTTTTTTTGATACTGTTTTTTTTTACTTAAATTACATCACTTACATTATCGAGCGATTATCATGATTTTTTTAATCTATTATTAAGAGTTAAAGTTAGGTAACAAAAGAATTGCATAAGTATTGAACTCATTCATTAAAAATAATTAACAAAGAAATTTTTTAAAAACTGGTGGCACTCTTACTGAGTGATTTTTCATAACATTCATGAAAGTTATCAAACTGGAAATAGTTTTTTCGCAAGACCAAGAGCAACTTCAGAAAAATATTTTAGTTTTACATCTTTATTAAAACTTAATTGAGTAATTGGTTTGACAAAGTTTTTATTTACACTTCTTACGTTTATGCGTATTGCTTTATTTTTATAAGATTGAATTTTTATAATGCTGCTAAGTTAAATTTTTAAATATTTAAATCTTTTCTAAACATCTATATGTCAACCAAAATAATAGTACATAAACAAACAAACAAAAAAACAATAAAATAAATAATTTTAATACATATAAAAAAAAAAAAAAGTTTTTTTTTTAATTCTCCTTATATAAAAGTTTCAGTTCAAACCTTGTCAACAGGAAGAAATAATAATTGACGTAATTCATTTAGTAAACAAAAACTTAACGAAAAATCGCCAGAATTTTATTAAATGCTTGAAAACAAATAAAAATATATTTTTTATTTGTTTATATATTTTAATCTTTTTATTTTACTATTAATTACAAATATATATATGTGCATTGTTGTTAGGTTTTTATTTTCTCATAAATAATTATAATAATAAATTATTATTAATAAAAAAAAACAAATAAGATGACTAATTAGTTTGATTTTTTCAGCGCGTTTTTAAAATGGGTCATATTTAATAAATGCAAAAAAAATCGTGGCCATTTTATCAACAAAAAAATATATATGCGTGGTCATTCAAGGCGTGCGACTGCACGCGTCTCCTGAGAAGGCCTGAACTTATTAAAAACGCGACAAACAACTTTATAAAAACGTATCGTATTAAAAGTATAGCATTATAAAAAATGTTACTAATGGACCGTAAAAGCGTGCCTTAATTTTAAAAATTAACCAATAAAAATTTTTTTTGGTTGATTTTAAAATTTACGCACGTTTTTACGTAACATTTTTCATAATGCTATACTTTTTATAAAGTACTTGTTTATTACGTTGTTCAAGTGATCTGTGAGTTAACCCTAACCCTAACCCTGAGCATATGATCTAAACTAAAATAAACTGTGAAAAATAATCAACGAAAGTATCGGTAATTAGAAACTAGTAATTCATCAAAAAAAAAAAGGTATTTTAAAGCCTCTGTAAGGTAACCAAAAAGCTTAATCATATGCAGAATCCTCCAATAAAGGTGTTTCTCCAACCTTAAAACTGAATTTTTTTTTTTTTTTAATTTTCAAATTTCATTTTACCTCCCCAAGGCCAAGAAAGCCACTACAGTCTAGGAGGCTACTTTAGTTGTGGTTTCAACCCTCGCTCAACTCTATTACTCCGAAACATGAACCTTGGCAAACAAGGCTGCTGCTTGGAGAAACAATTTGAGCGAATTACTACCAGGAGCATGGTGGTCATCCAACTCAGAACTTCTCACTCACGCTCTACCACTACACTACTGAAATTTTTAAATCCTATTAATAATAAGCACCCAGAGATTATCATAAGATCTATTAGTTTTTATTCAAAATATGTTTAAGATTTCATCCTAGATAATCTTTCTTAAGGGTATAATTATTACTTGATTACTTTTAAGGTTATTGAGGCTACTAGATTTCTACTTCATATTATACTTATATTTATGTTTTATTTATTTTTTCAGATTCAACTCGTGTATTGCTCAATGAAGGCATGCCTCATTATCGAAGCCCCTTTGATAAAGGTCACATGTTTGTATCGTTTGACATAATATTTCCACAAAATAATTACCTAGAATTGGAAAAGTTAAAAGTAAGTTTTTGGTTTTATTGAAAAGTCCATTAAAGGGTTTTTTTTTAATTTTTATTCAACTTATAATTAAAGGGAATTTTTATTTAAATTATAATTAAATTTAGCAATAAATAAATTAGAGAATAATAATTCATAAAATTTTGTATTGACTGAAGTTATTGAATTATAGTGGCTGAAAGATTTTGTAAGTTTAAGCTTTGCAGTGGCTTGTAAATTGTAACTTTTATTGCAGTAAATAACTAGATTCAACAGAATCTAGTTATTTACTGCAATCGACTATCGCAATACTGTTGACATTCCTATAATAATGAATATCAATTCCCTCTCGCTGAGTCTTCTTCTTTTTATCTTCTTGGATTAAAATTACCACTTGCTAGGGTTGCTTCTTTATTGTTCTCGCTTCTATCATACTCCTTATTCCATTCTCTATCTCCACAAATCTCTTATTTGTACTTGTAAAGAATTGTTGTCATATTTGAGCTGACAAAGACAAGGTCCAAAAAAGCTTTGTAGATGTAGTTGAACATGCTTTATCTGCTGAGGTTGAGCCTCTCCCATCGTTGTAAGGTTGCATCTCTTTTGCTTTTTTACAAATACTATCATAGTGGCTGCTCAAAGGAGATATTGTTTCCATTGACTATCAATCAAAATTCATTTTCTCTTTACTCGTTATTCAGTAAAGTGGCATCCTTTTACTGTATCTGTCCCTGCATTCTATAAAAACTTTTATTCATCACGTTTTTATTTACCTCACTACAATCCTTTGAATCTCTCTCCCATCTACATGTCTTCCTGAATCGTGCAACATACAACTTTTCAAGTCTTTTCTCAACCGTTTCCTTGCTCTTTAATTCTATTCTTTGTTTTCTAGTAATTACCAACTGAGTAGTGGTTACTTGCACCCTTATTGGAATTGAATTAAATTTATTGGAAGTTACTCGCCCCCTTAATGGAAGTGAATTTAAAAAAAAAATGATCAATTGATTACCACTTTTACTTTTTTAATATTATATATAAAAAAAAGATTTACTTATTAAACCTTATTTAACCTTAATTTTTAATTATCATAAGATTATTTTTTAATAGATTAATTAATTACTCAAACCATACAGGGGACCAAGAAATTAGCTTGTTAGAGAATGCTAGAGTTATTGGCAGTATAATCCATAAATTAAGACTCAAATGAAATTTTAAATTAGTTTAAGTTAAGGGTTATTGAGTTATCCAGAGTTTATTGTTCATATTTTAACTACTAACAGCACACACATAGAAACACTAACAAAATATAAACCCATATAGCTTTATATAACACATAAAAAAAACATACATATGACATAAAATACTTGTCAAAAACTATAAATTAAGAACATTTACAAATATAACATTTGTGAAATTTTCATTCAATGACATACCTTTTTTATGCATGTGAATATGCAAATGTTATGCAGGTATTATGCAAATGACTTGTTATGCATGTGTAATGCAAATGCTTTCTAGAACAAATGTTTGACCCTGACCTTTTTTTATTGTCACTGATTATTGTAATAAAAGTGATAATTTAAATAAATATTCAACTTTTTCTTATTTGAATATATATATATATATATATATATATATATATATATATATATATATATATATTATATATATATATGAGTATAAGAGTATGACATATAAGAGTATAAGAGTATATGTTATATACGTCAGAAATATATATGTCAGAAAACATCAATAATACGAATTCTCTTAATACAATTAATAATTAATTATTAGAAATTTTCGCTGGATTATGGTTACCAGCATCATCAGCTCGTAAAAATTATACAATAAAATTTTTTTGTAACGTTAGAAACAGTTTAAAATTAACTGGCGTCAGCAGTTGAATGGCTTCTTTCTTGCTTACATAAAAATGTAAAAAACGGAGTCCAAAATTTAGTTTTCACAAACTGCCCGTTATCTAAATTAATTCCGCCATGTATAGGTGAACATTGGAACCTCTGTATTTCTAGAGCTTCGCGCACTTTTCGATCAAATTTTTTTGTTTCAACTTTAATTGTTTTTACGTTTTCCCACTTTATTTCTTGTGAGCAAAACGTATTATGGGTGGCTATTGCAGATTGATACTGTTTCCCCTTGTTTAAACTTTTTAGATGTTGTTGAGCCTGAGTCCTAATTAGAAGTTTAGTTTCGCCTATGTAGCTTTTTGAGCATTTGCATTCAATCAAATAAGTTCCGGGTTGACTATTTTGTGGTAATTTAGTTTTGTTTTTTGATGCCAGTAATGTTTTTAAATCTGGATTTGATTTGAAGACTACTCTATAGCCAGCTTTTCGAAATATTTTTCTTAATTTTGGGGATAGCAATGGTATCCATGGTAACAATACAGTAGGGATGTTAAGAGAGTCTGATTGAATTTTATTGACTTTTAGAGACCGTTTATTTCCTATTAATTTTGCAATCCGTTTAAGTTGGTATATGTTGTATCCATTTTTGTTAAACATTTGAATAAGAAAATTAATCTCATCTTGTAAATATAAATTACTGCATAAAGAATAATAATAATAAATAAATATAATAATAATAAATAAATGCCCTGTGAACGTAACCTTTAAATATTGCGTTTAGAACCTTAGGGTCATAATTTGAGTGGTGTTTAATTTGGATATTAGTTATGGCTTCCCGTCTGTAAACTTTAAACTCGTATTTTCCTTTGTTGTTGTTTATTATGGTTAAATCGAAGAAGTTTAGAGTTCTATTTACGCTTTCAGTTTCAATCGTATATTGTATTGCAGGGTGTTGTTTGTTTAAGATAGTTAGGAATTGTTCTGCTTCTTGAGTGTTGGAAAATCTAGTGTGACTATCATCGACATATCTTAGATAGGATTTTAGGTCAAGAGGAGGATTTACTGCCATTGAAATTTTGAAAGCGTTTTGTTTATGATGTTGTAAAAATGATTCTGCAAGTACGACCATGAATGAAAGACTAGATTTCTCAAGTTCATGGATTTCGTTGTTCCAAAGGAAATAACAACGGTGTAAACAAAACTCTATGAGTTGTTTTGTTTCAGATATAGTAAGTTTGGTAGAACATTTGTAGGAATCATCTTTATTTAATTGGTCTATGAGAACTAAAGTGGCTTCTTTCAGTGGTATTGATGGATACAAGATTATTACATCAAATAAAACTTGAACCTCGTTTTTGTCAATCTCCCATGAATTCGCTTTACTAATAAAATCAAAAGAATTTTTCAGACGTGTTTGGTTTTTGTTTAAGACAGGTTGTATTTTCTTTACTAAATAGTTCGATATTCCATAATTAGGAGTGCCGATAGTTGATACAACTATTCTCATAGGATAAGATTTTTCAGGTTTGTGAGCTTTAATTAGACCATACATACGAGGCAGGATGGGATCACTTGGATATATACTATCATATTTTGTTTGTCTAAATTTTAATAGCACAACTAGATGTGGGATCTTCACTTAAAATTCTTGTTGGGCCAATTTGTTTGCAAATTTTTTCCAAAGCTTTATTGTGTTCTATTCTAACAAAACCATTATCCTTATCAATAGGATATATATCAATAATTTTGTTTTTCTTAATTTCTATAAAAGCTTTTCTTTGTTCTCTTGTTAAATTTTGATTTATTTTTTTACCCATTTTAAGTTCTTTTAAAACATTTTTTCTCAAATCCTGTGCATCCTCAATCTTGTTGCTATATTCCAATTTCAAAGCTGAGGTCTCTGTTGTTGCAATAATATCCATATAAGGTATATATTTCAACGAAGGTACAAAATGTGGACCAAGATTAAGAAGATCATTTTGGTTTTTTGGAATATCATCATTGCATAAGTTTAAAACAGCGTTCTTTGTATGGGTTGTTAACTTACAGATTTTATTACTGTGATTATTTTCAAATTCGTTTTGAAGAATTTTAAACTTTTTAAATAATCTCTCTTTCGATTTCAGATACATTATTTTGCGAGCTTTTTCAGTAACTTATTCAACTTTTTTGTAGTCTAATTCATCAAGAATAACTTTAAAATCTTTTTGGAGATTTTTTGTTTCATTAACAAGCATAAAAAACCGTTTTTTAGCATTTTTTTTAATACAAATCAAAATTTTAAATCTATATCGAATAACATACTTACTGCTCTCTTTGTATTTACAGGACTGTTAATTTGTAGTGATTTCGGAATAAGTTTGTGTTTTTACATTTTTGTAAAGATAAAAACTGGTTTTTAGATTTTGCTACCGACTTCTTCAATAACTGTAACTGTTCAGTTTGTTTGTAAACATCAGCTCCATATTTAGCTGTAATATATTTAGTGTTGACATCGCGTATAAGAGTATATGTTATATTAGTTAGAAAACATCAATAGATGTTTTCTGACTAAAATACATATATATATATATATATATATATATATATATATATATATATATATATATATATATATATATATATATATATATATATATATATATATATATATATATATATATATATATATATAAGTGAGTACAACATCTTTCTTGTTGTAGCAGAAAAAGCTTAAGCTAGATAAAAATTAAAATTACAATAAAAGCAATCAATCAATACATATTAAATATAAGTTAAACAATGAAATTATTGTATTGTAATTAATGACTTTTCACATTGATTGATTGAATTAAAAGAAATACTTGTACAACGTTAAGACGCTTATTACATATTTCAGGAAAACACAATTAAAAAATAATTATTAGAGGAACCTCTTTGAAAATATTTATTAAATAACGTTTGGAGAAATCTATATTAGCTTATTTTGTATAAAAATCAAATTTGATTTTTTTTACCGTAACGCATTTTAAAAAATGGCTACAGCATTATAAAATAGCATTGTATAATAAAAGCAATCAATTAATGTACTAAGTCAAGTATGAGTACAATAACACTTGTTGAGCCAAAAGAGCTATATATATATATATATATATATATATATATATATATATATAT